GCTCAGCACCGTCACACCGCTGAACCGTCAGGACAGCAGACGTGATGCGACCGCCCAAACGCGAGGCAGACGCACTCGCCGCACGCCGCTATGCCTCGCCGCAAGTGAATACGAAGCGTCGCCCCACCTACAGGGTATGTGCCGACTGGTCCGTATATGTCCCCACTTCCGCCCACACCTCGAAAAGGCTAATCACTTGGGCGTAGCTCGTCTCAGTGACCGCGGGTAGATTGAACCAAGCACTCTAAGATACATATCACGCCTCACCAAGTCGCGTTGTTCTGAAACGTTCGAGAAGCACGAAAACGGCCGGGTCTTGTTGGGCTCAGAGATTCACTTCAGATGAGAGAGAATGGAGGCTAAGGAAGCGTGAGAGGATTTGCAAACCATGAAGCAAGAAGCTAGCTGTGACCTGAACACAGCAACGCAATGAATGAGGGACCAGAGGTACGACTCGGGAAACCGATCTTCAGGCGTGCTGTGTGGTTGCATTGATGACCCACACGTGCAGGAACTGTTTACAGCATGTGGATGTCTAGGATCTGCACCTAAACACAGCATTGAATGCTGCTGACACTGCATTCTAGCGGTCCCATCCAACAGATCTGACTCAGAAGCTGCTTCTGAGTTCCCATGTTGGACAATGGTGAGGACTGTCATTTCTATCGGGATGGCAGGCAGTTATGTCAAGGTGTTGCTGTAAACAGTAAATTCAAGCAGTCTTATTCAACTGATATGAATCAAATGCTGCTTGTGAGATCCCATGTAGGGCAAGATGATGTAGAAACAATTCTGACAGGTTGGCATGTATTCATATCAACTTGTACTGCTGGCAGCATCTGCTGTCCAAATGGCCCAGTTGGAGAACCAAATGCCAACACCTCCATTGGCAACAATTCCAAAATCCTGCATCACTAGAAAGACCAGTGTAGAAGCTGCCTATGCAAGACAGGAGTGTCCAAAGCACTCTCGTGTGGTCCATCAATGCACCCACCATTTGCTCTCATGCTCACAACATGCTACCATGAATCAGTACACCTGATATGAGTTACAGGATTCAGCGAAGCGGGGTAACATGTGGATTGGATCTCACAATAGGTTACTGTCCATGTGTTTAAATTTACTACTCTAGAAAGAACCAAGGGGTGATACGATGCTGTGTTGCGTACCTGTTTGTCCATGCACGGAACCTGGACGTTGAACGCAAGGGAGCACAGACTCGTTGCTACAGCAAGTGTGGTGGATGTGCAGCCTGAATGCGTGGAACTCCAATGTTAAAATTGACAACCCAACGTTGAAACGGCGACGCATGGCGTGCAGGCATGTCATCGCACCGATCCAGGGCACCGCAACCACAAACAGGCGTCACGTGAAGCGCGGTTGGGCGAACGAGGTGACACAGGTCCCTGTGTCAAGGGAATAGCTTGCGCTACCTGCATGCTTGCGAACAAGGTCACACCGGTACCGGCATCAAGGCACGCTCTTGCGCTACCTGCATGCGCGAAGCACCAGTGTTAAAATTGACAACCCAACGTTGAAACGGCGACGCATGGCGTGCAGGCATGTCATCGCACGGATCCAGGGCACCGCACGCACAAACAGGCAGACACGTGAAGCGCGGTTGGGCGAACGAGGTCGCACAGGTCCCTGCGTCAAGGGAATATATTGCGCTACCTGTATGCGTGGAACTACAATGTTAAGAATGACAACCCAACGTTGAAACGGCGACGCATGGCGTGCAGGCATGTCATCGCACCGATCCAGGGCACCGCAACCACAAACAGGCGTCACGTGAAGCGCGGTTGGGCGAACGAGGTGACACAGGTCCCTGTGTCAAGGGAATAGCTTGCGCTACCTGCATGCTTGAGAACAAGGTCACACCGGTACCGGCATCAAGGCAATAGCTTGCGCTACCTGCATGCGCGAAGCACCAGTGTTAAAATTGACAACCCAACGTTGAAACGGCGACGCATGGCGTGCAGGCATGTCATCGCACGGATCCAGGGCACCGCACGCACAAACAGGCAGACACGTGAAGCGCGGTTGGGCGAACGAGGTCGCACAGGTCCCTTCGTCAAGGGAATATATTGCGCTACCAGTCTGCGTGGAACTACAATGTTAAGAATGACAACCCAACGTTGAAACGGCGACGCATGGCGTGCAGGCATGTCGTCGCACCGATCCAGGGCACCGCAACCACAAACAGGCGTCACGTGAAGCGCGGTTGGGCGAACGAGGTGACACAGGCCCCTGTGTCAAGGGAATAGCTTGCGCTACCTGCATGCTTGCGAACAAGGTCACACCGGTACCGGCATCAAGGCACGCTCTTGCGCTACCTGCATGCGCGAAGCACCAGTGTTAAAATTGACAACCCAACGTTGAAACGGCGACGCATGGCGTGCAGGCATGTCATCGCACGGATCCAGGGCACCGCACGCACAAACAGGCAGACACGTGAAGCGCGTTTGGGCGAACAAGGTCACACCGGTACCGGCATCAAGGCATTAGTTGTGTTGCGCTACCTGCATGCGCGAAGCACCAGTGTTAAAATTGACAACCCAACGTTGAAACGGCGACGCATGGCGTGCAGGCATGTCATCGCACGGATCCAGGGCACCGCACGCACAAACAGGCAGACACGTGAAGCGCGGTTGGGCGAACAAGGTCACACCGGTACCGGCATCAAGGCAATAGCTGGCGCTACCTGCATGCGCGAAGCACCAGTGTTAAAATTGACAACCCAACGTTGAAACGGCGACGCATGGCGTGCAGGCATGTCATCGCACGGATCCAGGGCACCGCACGCACAAACAGGCAGACACGTGAAGCGCGGTTGGGCGAACGAGGTCGCACAAGTCCCTGCGTCAAGGGAATATATTGCGCTACCTCTATGCGTGGAACTACAATGTTAAGAATGACAACCCAACGTTGAAACGGCGACGCATGGCGTGCAGGCATGTCATCGCACTGATCCAGGGCACCGCAACCACAAACAGGCAGACACGTGAAGCGCGGTTGGGCGAACGAGGTGACACAGGTCCCTGTGTCAAGGGAATAGCTTGCGCTACCTGCATGCGCGAAGCACCAGTGTTAAAATTGACAACCCAACGTTGAAACGGCGACGCATGGCGTGCAGGCATGTCAGGCAATACAACATCCGTAGTGTTTCCTATATCCCTGCCATATACAAGCCGTCGTTCGCTGCGTTGCAACACCATGTGAGTCACATCAGTAGATAACATTCAAACTTTGAACGTGTTTGCCATACAATAGAAGTCTAGGGTCTAGAATCAAGGTCTTGTTGTCAACCCACACTCAAGCGCTACACACTTCTGAAAACTGTCCTGCGCCCACATCAGGCGACCACATTTCCATTGTGCTACATGATCCTGTTTCCTCACAACTGCACTCAACATCTTGGTGAGGGACCACATCAGTCACGGAGTACGTAAACTTCCTCGGTTGAGGCGTGCAATGGATGACCACGTCTTTTCTGGCGGGGCAACGATCACACATGCATGAGAAATGGTACCTGGAGGCGAACATGTATTCAAATGGGGACGTGTTATTAAACCAAATCGCCGCACACATATGAACACACGATGGGAATACTCCTCAAGATTCACTGCCGGGACCTTTTTTCACAATGCAACCACCTAAAGGACGGAAAGACAATAGCGACCAACATGCACGCACCTCCAAGTGCCCGAGTCGATCCTGTGCCGGCTATGCTCGTGCCATCTGCCACCGTCTTCGTGAGCTAGACGACATGCACGTCGGAGCATGATCCGACGTTTGCTGCTCATGGATCGTAAGAATAACAAAGATTCGATCTCATTGACGTCGAGGATGGGCATAGTTGAGACAGCAAGCGATACGGTTAAGAGCACCTATTCTCATCCTGTACTCACCGTGCTTGCTTGGTGTGACTACGTGGATTATAGAAAGAGCGCCAAAACAGCGCGCGTGACCCGTGCGGGTTGCACCTGGTAAGCGCAAGTGACGCCATTTGCCTATCAATGACAGCTCGAATGGTGTGAGGACGCTAGAACTTCTACGCTGCCAATGAACATGTACTACCTTGACGTAAGTACTAGCGAATGTACTACCGCACTAACGTCCGAGATTCCGACTTCATGAGTGAAGTCTTTGTTGGGTTTGCCGGTGTGTGGAATCTGGATTCGGGGTGGTACGCTGTTTTGGATGGCGCGATACCTTAGTCGTACAGTCTAACTTTCGGATCGATGGGTTATCATCTACTCGTTCAAAATTTGGCTGGTAACATTCGGGGTTACATGTAGATACACACCTGCCTGCGATCTTCGCGAAATATGTGTGTTCTCAACCAGCTCCCTTCCTCACCCTCGTGTAGAAACCCGGTTTCCAGCTAAGGGCACGGGGTGGCGCGCATATGGACGGCGGGACTTTGCCAGCACCACACAGTGCTCCCACCTAACGCGATGCGGAGTGGGGCTGCAGAACTTGTAAATCGATCCGCTGGCTCCCTCGTTGTTAGCATGCGGTGGTCACGTCCGTAGGATAAAACACTATCAACGGTTGAGCCCAGTCCATCCCTTCTCCGCCACAGTCACAGCACGTTCTCCGAACGGATCTGCTGCGGGGCTGCAGCAAACCCTACAGCGCGGACGACTATGCGCACCCTCACTACCTCTGAAGTTTGAGCTGGTGATTCAAATTTTCAAACCCAAAGTGCGCATCTACTCGCTCTGTTGGCGTGGCGTACCCCTGCCATGCTATTGTCTGGTGCGCACCCTAGACAGTGTGCCGTCAGTACGAGGCCTATAAAGATGGTAGATCATGGGGGCTCGGTGACTTTTCTACTCATGTTCACTAACGCTAGGCATACATGGAAACCCTAACTGCTATCACGAGAAAGGCTACGTCGCGTCCATCTCGTCCTCCCTCTACTGGCGGTCGATTCAGGTTTGCTGCAGTTGTTGAAGCAGCCGTTGCCGCACGAAACTCAACGGTGCAGAACAATGGCGCCAACGGTGGGACGAGCCCTGTAGCTGGTGGATCAAGTAGCCCTGCTGGCGCTTCAAATGGGGTTGACGAAGGTAAGTTCTACCTCCACTGCTTTAGTTATCCTCGCGCTGCTGCGTTTTTTTTGTTGCGTGCATGGCATTAACCAACGGCGTGTGTACTTTGCTGCAGGGAACCGTATTGTCTCCCTCAATCAACTATCGCTGCCATCGAATGGTGGCCTCTCCATCGGAGCAGCAACAACCACGGCTGGAGGCGGCAGAAGGTCCGGTGGTGCACGTCGCAACACCACAGCGCCGAACGGTGTACGACAGCCCGCAACATCCACTGGGAGAAGGCCGCGAGGCAGCTCCGCACCCGCCGGTGGAGTTGTCGCGTCAGATGCGGCACAGGCTGGGGCAACGGCACGAAACCAGACTGGACGCACGGCTGCAGCACGCGCAAGGCAGGCGGAAGCATACCAGACTGGCCGGTCAGCACAGCAGTCCGACCCTCATGCGGATGCGGCGATTCAGCGTGCTGCAGGTGCGGCGACTACGTGTGCCGCTGATGCGGCGCATCAGCATACAGATGGAGAGGCGATTCAGCGTCCTCCTGGAGCGGCGAGTCCGGGTGCTGCTGGTGCGGCGAGTGCGCCAGCTGCTGGTGCGCCGAATACGACTGCTGCTGGCGCGGCGCTTCCGCGTGCTGCTGAAGCGGCAATTCTGACTGCCGCTGGTGCTGCGTTTCAGCCTGCCGCTGGTGCTGCGTTTCAGCCTGCCGCTGGTGCTGCGTTTCAGCCTGCCGCTGGTGCTGCGTTTCAGCCTGCCGCTGGTGCTGCGTTTCAGCCTGCCGCTGGTGCTGCGTTTCAGCCTGCCGCTGGTGCTGCGTTTCAGCCTGCTGCAGGTGCTGCGTTTCAGCCTGCCGCTGGTGCTGCGTTTCAGCCTGCCGCTGGTGCTGCGTTTCAGCCTGCTGCAGGTGCTGCGTTTCAGCCTGCCGCTGGTGCTGCGTTTCAGCCTGCCGCTGGTGTTGCGTTTCAGCCTGCTGCAGGTGCTGCGTTTCAGCCTGCCGCTGGTGCTGCGTTTCAGCCTGCCGCTGGTGCTGCGTTTCCGCAAGAAGATGGACAGCAGGTTTTTCTCGAGGCTGAAGCCACGCTTGCGTTTGCAGCTGGAGGCGCAGAACAGCCTGGTGTTGGAGCCGCGTCTCACCCTGCTGGAGTCACGTTACCTCATGAGGCTGGAGCCTCATTCCAGCCCGACGCTGGTCCGGAGTTTCCGGCTGCTGCTGGAGGCGCATTAGAGTCTGATGCTGATGCATTCGATGCGTTTCTGGAGGACGCTGAAGATGGTGGTGGTTATAAGCAGCCAGTGGACCTCGAGGCGGAGCCAGAGATAGAACCCACCATCCCTGAACCTGGGTACATGCCTGAGCCGATGGAAAATCGTGCGACAGAGTCTGCGTCGCCAACAGTTGACCGTGCAGTGTTTGAGGCCCAGGCCGCGCGATACCACCAGTTGGAGCGCGAGCTTATGCAAGCGCGAAATGAGATGCGTGCCATGCAGCGACAACATGCACCCTCACAACATGGCACTGGTCAACGCGATGGGCCGCGGTTTGACACCGAGATCAACACCGATGCGGATGCAGGTGGTTGGAACGATGCGGCGAACATAGCAGATCCGAACGGAGTGGTTTCAGGTGGGGCCGGTGCGACAAACAGTGGGCGTTTCGAGGCGGCTTCCGCGGCTAACGGAGGGCCGTCAGGAGCTGTTGTTGCTGCTAACGCTGGGCTACCGGGTGCTGCTGGTGCGGCTAACGGAGTGCGTTCTGGGCTTGCTTGTGCGGCCAACGGAGGGCCGTCAGGTGCTGCTGGTGCGGCTAACGGAGTGCCGTCAGGTGCTGCTGGTGCGGCTAACGGAGGGCGTTTTGGTGCTGCTGGTACGGCTAACGGAGGGCGTTTTGGTGCTGCTGGTGCGGCTAACGGAGGGCGTTTTGGTGCTGCTGGTGCGGCTAACGGAGGGCGTGTTGGTGCTGCTGGTGCGGCTAACGGAGGGCGTTTTGGTGCGGATGCGGCAGGCGAAGACAACTACGAGCTGCACCTTAACATACCGCGTCCCTTGGTGTTGGTCGAGCCGAACCGCCCTGCGATCATTGACGCTGTCAACAGTGCGTACGCACATGGAGCCACACTCGACCTGCATCAACTGACTCATATGCAACGGTCGTGGGCGCACCGTTACGCGATGGCGTTGGCCTCAATCCCAGCGAAACACAACGGGTTCACGGTAGGGCACGGTCACCTCATTTGTCCAGTCTATCGCCTTGCTCGTCGCATGTAAGGTAGCCGTCCCTAGCCCTATAAAGTCGCCTGCATTGTGTCTGTTTAAGTAACCGCACGGGCTGGTCTAAACCATGCCAGTCGACCGTGTTACATGCAGCACATTCACTGACTACGACGGTCACCAACCTTCAGCCCAACCCCCTCCCCTTTGTCCATACACTCCCTCCTACATTGGCAGGCGCGCTGGTCTACATACCCCCAAGACCCGCCCTACCCTCATGTGGGGGTGAGGAAGGCGCAATCACGCCAGCCCAATCACCCTGCCTCTGCCACTGCGCATAAGCCCCTCCCCTAAACCCATTCTAACCGCCTCTCTCCCCTCCTTTGGCAGGCGCGCTGCTCTACATACCACCAAGACCCGCCCTACCCTCATGTGGGGGTGAGGAAGGCGCAATCACGCCAGCCCAATCACCCTGCCTCTGCCACTGCGCATAAGCGCCTCCCCTAAACCAATTCTAACCGCCTTTCTCCCCTCCTTTGGCAGGCGCGCTGGTCTACATACCCCCAAGACCCGCCCTACCCTCATGTGGGGGTGAGGAAGGCGCAATCACGCCAGCCCAATCACCCTGCCTCTGCCACTGCGCATAAGCCCCTCCCCTTCCCATTCTAACCGCCTCTCTCCCCTCCTTTGGCAGGCGCGCTGGTCTACATACCCCCAAGACCCGCCCTACCCTCATGTGGGGGTGAGGAAGGCGCAATCACGCCAGCCCAATCACCCTGCCTCTGCCACTGCGCGTAAGCCCCTCCCCTAAACCCATTCTAATCGCCTCTCTCCCCTCCTTTGGCAGGCGCGCTGGTCTACATACCCCCAAGACCCGCCCTACCCTCATGTGGGGGTGAGGAAGGCGCAATCACGCCAGCCCAATCACCCTGCCTCTGCCACTGCGCGTAAGCCCCTCCCCTTCCCATTCTAACCGCCTCTCTCCCCTCCTTTGGCAGGCGCGCTGGTCTACATACCCCCAAGACCCGCCCTACCCTCATGTGGGGGTGAGGAAGGCGCAATCACGCCAGCCCAATCACCCTGCCTCTGCCACTGCGCATAAGCCCCTCCCCTTCCCATTCTAACCGCCTTTCTCCCCTCCTTTGGCAGGCGCGCTGGTCTACATACCCCCAAGACCCGCCCTACCCTCATGTGGGGGTGAGGAAGGCGCAATCACGCCAGCCCAATCACCCTGCCTCTGCCACTGCGCATAAGCGCCTCCCCTAAACCAATTCTAACCGCCTTTCTCCCCTCCTTTGGCAGGCGCGCTGGTCTACATACCCCCAAGACCCGCCCTACCCTCATGTGGGGGTGAGGAAGGCGCAATCACGCCAGCCCAATCACCCTGCCTCTGCCACTGCGCATAAGCCCCTCCCCTTCCCATTCTAACCGCCTATCTCCCCTCCTTTGGCAGGCGCGCTGGTCTACATACCCCCAAGACCCGCCCTACCCTCATGTGGGCCTGAGAAAGGCGCAATCACGCCAGCCCAATCACCCTGCCTCTGCCACTGCGCATAAGCCCCTCCCCTTCCCATTCTAACCGCCTCTCTCCCCTCCTTTGGCAGGCGCGCTGGTCTACATACCCCCAAGACCCGCCCTACCCTCCCGAGGCAGTGAGCTAGGGAGCATGCAGACGAACTGCAGCAGCAAGTCTGCACTTTTGTCTAATCCCCCTCCCTCCCTGTGACGTTGTACTCGTTGTAGCATCTCCCTTTGCATTTGTGCAGGGTCCATCCGACCCAGCCAGACATCCCGGGCATGTGAGATGTAGTTCAGTCAACCCATCTGACTAAGACGGTCTTCCTCCCTCTGTGCCTAAGCTCCTAAACCCTTCTCAACTATCTCTTGCCCTGAACCTCTGTGAGAATGCAGGCCGCTGCAAAGAAAGTCGTAGACATACTTGTCTATGAGACTCCGAACGCCCACCTGCAGTTCTGGTGCCCTCGTTCAGCGGTTATCAATGCGCTAGCGTCTGCCTTGAAGTACACAGACCCTGCGCAGATCGAAAACCTGACGCTAGTGATGGAGAACGAGACTGGTCGACCGGGTCAGTTTCGAAAGAAGTTCCAGGACAAACGCAACACGATACTCACCACGGGCCGCGTCAACCTGTATGAGTACTTCAACATCAAGATAGAACGGCCGAACCTCCACCAGGCCGTGGTGGGACGTGTGGAACCTTCAGCCTTTGTCGCCAAATTCGCTGCAGGTAGCGTTTCATAGCCACTTGCCTGCTTCCCCTGTTCAAAGGCTTGTTACTTTGCACCTGCACACACACTCGCACGTCTCTCGTATCCAGCCGGCTCTCTTGCGCGACTTTTCCACTAACTGTGCCCCTGTTCCCATGTTTTACCGTCCATCCACCAGTTGTCAAATGCCTGTACCCACGATTTTCCCTTCTACCCCACTGTTTTGCTGTCTACCCCACTGCCCCCCATCAGACATGCCATGCAAGCCCATGCCGCCAGGTGATGTACACCATTCTGCTCACAATGCCGAGGCACGCAAGACCAAGAAGTTCTTCATTGTCTCAGATTTACATGGTGCCAATCTTCAGTGGGACTTCGCACCGATCGACAGCTCTCACCCTTCCCTACTGTACCTTGCTGCCCGCCAATGCCCACTCTGTCCTCCGGTCCTCTGCTGTGCCCCTCTATACCCCTCCATTCCCCGCATGCACCCACATGTCCAGCACGGGCCTGTCAAAGATTGTGAAGGCAGAGGCTCTATGCATAGGGCATAACCCTTCCCCAAAACGCATGCCTACCAAAATCTGATGCATTTCACCATTCCTCCTTGAGTTGTGTTTCATTTGTAAGCCCCTTGAGATTCCCTCCTACACCCCGAATTCCAGATGATGACTCGTGGGACCTGCTGACCTGGACTAAGAATGACAAGGGGGTCCTTCTGGCGAACGACATTTTCACCAGCGCTATCTATCTGTCATATGAGAGGGAGGGCTATCCGAAGCTGGTGCTGCGAATGAAACACATTGCGTTTTGGCTCCTCGGGGTAGGTGAACATTCAGTGCATGTCAGTTGGTGCAAAACTAGTTGGTGCTCATGTTGATGTTCTGCTTAGCATAACTGCAGGTGGAACACAAGATCAAGACTGGTTTGCCTCTCTCTCACAGCAGTGTGAACCTCAAAGGACTGTACGCAAGATACAGCTCCAATGTCCGCAATGTCGTTCGTGATGCCATCCAGAGCCCCACGCGCAATGCCACGGGACCTTGGTGGCAGGCCGATTTCAAAGCGTGGAAGTTTCACGAGAGCACAGATTGCCTTTTTATCAGCTGTGATGGGATTGAGGATTTGAACCCTTAGACGTGCTACTATGGGTAGGCAATAAATAGTTGTGTGCTTGCTATGACGCTCACAGGACGTAGATTTGTAGTAACGTAGTATTATTAATTGTAGGTTCTATATGTAGAGACGTTTCAGTATATCCAATTGAGTGGCAAACAACTGCAAAATTAATATCCAGCAAAAAGTCCTAAAATTAAAAGCTCATGAAATAATAATAAACGTACTGTAAAGTATGTTTTCTAATCACATAAAATGTAGCACCACAAGACCGATACAATGCACCGAGTAACTATAAACGAGTATCTGAGAACCTGTAACATTCTGACAAAATGTCCCTGGTATGTCGCACGTCATCACAATTTGAGCAATGGCACCATCACACCTGAGCAATGGCACCATCACACCTGGGAATGGAAAACTGTCGCGTGTCAAATCCAGGATGGGCCACGAAGAAAGAGACTCTCCAGTAATGTGTGGACAAGTTGCCCTTTCCTGAAGCTGGTGAAAGAACGGGAGTCAGCCGCGTGTCAGAAAAAACTGTCTGATACAGATGGTCCAGAGCGAATCAGACATCTCCACAACAGTGTTAGACTGACCATTGGTAAACCGAGAAATAGCAGTTCTGTTTTGGGAGGGAAACATTGTAGCTGTGCCGCGTGTCCGTTTAGCCCCTGACAGAAACTCCTTCGCACCCAACCAAGGAACGGTAACTGAAAAGTCGCTGCATCACTTGCGATTTCGACTAAACATACCCAAGCAATCATCAACTAGTACGGAAGTATGCGACTCTGCATCAAAAAGGCCTCGGCGAATTAGAGAGCACGAAACAGCCTCGCCCACCAATTAACATCCAGTGCTGCAGTCGCCCTCGCAACGCCTGAACCTACGGGCGAGAAACTTCAACGCAGGTTTAGGCTCGGGAACACACACAGGTTGAAAATATACGCTACGTAGGTTCATTGGCAACCGAAAAGTAGGCGTTTTCAAACCTACTGAAGAGTATCTACCAGGTACCCAAATCGTAGCTTTTTGTCTCGCACATTTTTGGGATGTCTTCACCCCTCTGCTTCCACCTGAGCATCCGCAGAGCGCTGGTGGTGCAGTTCAAGGGCTAGATGAGATTGCCCCCAAGGGTCAGTCAGTCCAGCCCACCCCACCTACCTCTGTGAAATCCCTCGTCCCTCTCCCAGCCCTGTCCCTCTCCCCCACTTGTCCCTTTCCCACCTTTGCTCCTCTCCCCCCCTTTCCCTCTTCCCCCGTTGTCACTCTCCCCCCCTTGTCCCTCTCTTTTTTAGTCCCTCTCCCCTCCCCTGTCGGTCTCCCTCCTTTGTCCCTCTTCCCCTCCTGTCCCTATCCACCCCTTGTCCCTATCCCCTCCCTGTCCCTCTTCCCCGTTCTCCCTCTCCCCTCCTTGTCCCTCTCCCTCCTTTGTCCCTCTCTCCTCCTTGTCCCTCTCCCCCTTTTTTCCATCTCCTCTCCCTGTCCCTCTCTCCTCCCTGTCTCTCTCCCCCCTTTGTCCTTCCCCCGTCCCTGTCCCTCTTCCCTTGCTGATCCTTTCCCCTCTCTGTCTGGCACACATTCTCCCTCTCTTCTCCTGCTGCTCCCACCCTGCAGCTGCTCAGCGCAGCACAGGTCTGGCCTCCCTCTCCTGTTCCCGGTACATGCAGGCTACCTCGCACCCGGCCCCCCTTGCACCCTTCACACGTTTTTTTTCTGCTTTTTCACTTGACCTCTCCGTCTCTTTTCACCCTCCCCCTATGTTCTCCCTTGTTTTTGCTGGTTATCCTTTTTTTTGCTGGCAGCACGTTTATCGACCAAACAGGGGCTGAAGAATGCTGAGCAGGTAGCAGTAGCTTGAGGTATGTTCGTCATGTTTGATCAACTGGAGTTGTTGTTATTACCTTCCATATTTCCTCTGCATTCACCTTTTTTATGTTTCTGCATACTGTAGTTAATCCAGTTAGCATCACGGGAGATGCAATGAAAGGAAAATGTAGCGCAAGTGAAAATGCAGCAAGGCAAGCTCTACAAAAGTCACGGACAGGATAGGAAAGGTTTGGCTACACCCATTTGTAACTTCTATACTGACATTGTCGGTAGGAAGTGTTCAATCATTTCAACCATTACAAAGGATCAAGAGATACAAGGAAACAGAGAGCACGCACACAAAGCTCTAACCCGTCTTCATATCACCAAGACTCCTCATGCCTATCCACCTCTATCAAGGTCAGGACCTTTTTATTCAGCACCTCGCACACCACCATGCCTCGGCAGCTCCACTTGCAATCACTTCACAACCTCAAAACACAGCGCAACCCACAACTAGCAGCAGCACATGTCATACACCTCGGTTACACCCCACGTCGCAAAAACTTGCACTAGAAGTTGTTGTCGCTCTCGTAGGGCGCGCCGGCGCTCCAATCGCCCGGAATCACGTCCTGCAGCACCACGTGCCTCTTGCTGCCCAGCGCTGTCACGCGTACGCTCACCGCGCTCCCCGTGTCCACGACGCCTGTGGCGGGATTCAGCACCCACGGCGCTCCTTCCTTCCGCATGCTCTTCCAATCGTTGCCGTCGCTCGAAATCTCCACCTTCTCGACGCCTCCGCTCTTCCCCACGCGAAGAATCTGAATGGCGAAATTCCACTTGCTGCTGTAACGCATGATCATAACCGCTATCCTACTGTCAGACGGGCAGGGCACGCGGATGTACTCGACCTGCACGTTGCCCGCGTTACGGTCCCTGGAGATTATGTCCCATGCGGGATAATTAAGGTTGAAACCGCTGCCGCCGTCGTTGATCGCGCGCACTGTCACGGCTTTTCCCCTGTTGCAGCTTCGGTGGTTTTTGCAGGAAACGCGGTAGCACGTTCCGCAACCCTTGCCGCCTTTGATATCGCTCGACGGCACCTGCGCAACCATGCCATTGTCGAAGTACGGACTGTCGTTGTAATTGATTTTGTTGTAACACTGCCCGCCGCTCAGAGGGCCGTTAACGGCGAACGTGGTGGCAGCATCGCCAGGAGTGAGTGCGAGAGCGAGCAGGAAGATTCCCGCGCACAGCAGGCTGGCGACCTTGGAAACACCGAGAGCCATCAAAGTAGAGGAGCAGAGCTTAGTAGTGAGAATCGCTGAGAGCTTGGGAAACTTCTCTGCTGACAGCTGCAGACTAAATTTCAAAGCTGAAACCAAGAGAGATTGAAGATCGGACACTGGAGGGCAGTGTTTGATTTCGATGATGATAGGGTGAGGAGGTAGAGATTAATATACTGGATGCGTGACTTGGAAAAGAATCGGGAGTTGGGTCTGGGAGGGTTCGCCGCAAAGAGCGGCTTCGAGTCCCCATTGTGATCTTCCTTTCAGCGCTCTGGAAATTGGGGCTGTGTTGTGGGTTAGGACGTGTGTGAAACTAATTGCAGTTCGAAAACGGGATCGAACTTCGTGTGGTAACCAATATCGTCATTGTTCGCGAATGCTTTCGCCGAAGTAGTGCTTCACTACCCATCCCACTTCACTCGAACCCCAAAAAGTGAACTAGACTCGAGTGTGTGAGCAAACGTGATTTTGCACGTTGTAGTGAACGTGTGTGGTTTCAGGCACGTACGAGGAGTGTGCGACACTCGCAACACATTCGTTGACGTGTCGCGCTGTCAAGATGCCGATACTGGGTAACCTACGCACCCTAGTCGCGGTTCGGTTCTCCCCCTACAGGCTCGAACTTGTAGATTCGCACTTGCGCGTGTGATTGTGTGTTTACAACTTTTGACAGCTAAGGCTCGAACCTTGCAACCACTCAAAATCGAGTCAGGTTCGCTTAGTGTTCAGATGCCACATTCGAATAAAAAACCTAAACTTTGGGCCAAAATTAGTTTCACACACGTCCTTAGCAATAATGCTGGTTCACTTCGCGAACCGAATGAGTGGCGACATTAAGGACACCAGTTGTAACAGGGTGCGTGTGCCAAAGAGGAGGTAGGCGACGGGCTCAATAATAATCGTTCGGGGGAGCGACAATATTCTGGCAACTCACCGTTTTCGCGGATAATAATTTTCCGTTAGTCTCGGAAAGTACTGGGTTTCCTTTTGCGAGGTCAGGCGAGGGGCCTGATGATTGTTGGAGGTTCGCAACTTCGGAAACATTTCAAATCGTTCGTTACTGGCACAACGTGCGATGGATGTAGCACGTGCGAAGCACAAACAATCCAAGATCATCCCCTGCGAACTTCATATCCAGGTAACTCGACTCGTTTGACGACCCACACAGCACACCAAGATTTCGCGTGTGGTGAATGCTTTGTTTGCTGGCCTCCACCATTCGCGTTATGAGTTGTACTAGCGCAATTGAGTGACCGAGTGTGCAATTGAGTGAGCGAACGAAGATTGCACTATCGAAGCAAGAGTACAATGAGCGAAGGCATGAGCGAAGATTATATAGCGAAACTACAGTGGTAACGGTAATGTGTGGAAAATGGTGTTATGAGTTGTAAGAATGAAGAGTGCGCAGAATGCAATATCGCGGAAGTGATTACAACAACTGATCAAACAACGAGGCCTAGGCACAATATAGCAAAGCTAGCTAGGCCGAGGTCGCGGAGTCGCGCGAAGGTTGGGTGCAGGTTTGGGGTTGGAAAACCCGAAGGCGACGCGGTAGACGTTCGGAAGGCGAGGTCGACGGGCCGAGCCTGCAGTCCGAAAGTTGGAATTGTACGCGTAAGAGCTGCCTCGGTAAGGAATTAGTGAAATTCCTTACACTACCCCCCCCCTTAAGAAAGGTGGTCAATATCAGGCACGCGTCGGCGGGAGAGATAATCCCGAAGGACCGAGTGCCCTTGGAGTGAATCAGCAGGGACCCACGTGTCATCTTCGCTTGTGCGATCCACCCAGCGTAGTAGGAAATCGACGTGGCGTCCAGCGGGGGTCGCACGAACGCGATGAGCCAAAATCTTCCCAGGTTGAAGCGCCGGATCTGCCACAGGTCGGACACTTGGTGCCAGGTTGGGTCGAGCGACGTCGGACGGCTGCGGAGCCACGTAGTGGCGAAGGAGACTGACGTGGAACGCGTCGTGGATCTTCCAGTCGTCCGGTAGGAGAAGTTTCGCCGTGACCGGTGTCAACATCCGAATGATGCGGAAAGGTTCCATGTAGCGGGGACGCAATTTTGCGGGCTGGGGCAGTTTGAGGTTCTTCGTGTCCAGAAGGACCATCTGCCCGTCACGGAAGGGTAAATTCCGTCGATGTCGGTCAGCGTAGCGGCTGGCGACTGTATTAGCCTTCCGGATAAATTCCGCTGCTTTGTTGCGTGCCGCTTGAAGTTCCGAAACGAACTGCTGCGACCTGGGTACCGGATTTTCAGGAGTCGTGGACGAGGGTACCACCGGGTCTATCCCGTAATTAAGGTAGAACGGGGACTGATTGGTCGTTGCGGAGGGGGCGTTATTGTACGCAAACTCGAGCATGGGAAGCGAATCTTCCGACTTGGTGATGTCGGGGCAGTTTGTACGGATCAACTGCTCCATCGTCTGGTTGGTCCGTTCTGTCTGGCCATCGGTCTGCGGATGGTAAGACGACGAAAACTGCAGGCGGGTGCCGTACTGTGCCCATGTCTCCTGCCAGAACTTCGACGTGAATTTCGGGTCGCGGTCGCTGATGATCGCCGATGGTAACCCGTGCAGTCGCACGACGGTCGAGATGAAAAGCTTCGCTGTGTCTTCGGCTGTGATCGTCGTGCGGCATGGTGCGAAATGCGCCATTTTCGTTAAGCGATCGACGACCACGAGCACCGAATCGTTGCCACTTGCGCCAGCTGGCAGCCCCGTGACGAAGTCCATCGTCACTTGCTGCCACGGTCGTTCGGGTGGCTCGAGGGGTTGCAGCAATCCAGCCGGGCGTTGGCGTGATGATTTCATTGCTTGGCAGGTCGGGCAGGCGGACACGTAGCGCTGCACGTCCGACGCCATGTCGGGCCAGTAGTAATTGCGCTGCAGCAGCTTCAACGTTTTGTCGATGCCGAAATGCCCGGAGAGGTTGGAGTCGTGAACCTCCTGCGTCAGCAATTCTCTGAGGGGTCGGTAGGAAGGTACCCAAACGCGGCTGGTGCCGGCTTTTAGGTAATAGCTCCCATGTGCTGTGGTGACCCGTTGGTGTAGGTTGGTCCTGAAAAACCTGTCAGTCCTGTAGCCGTGCTTGAATAATCCTGCCAATAAAGGGTTAGAATGGGCGATTAGTACTGCTGCTGTCTGCATTGATGGGCGGGTCAGGGCGTCGGCGATGTTGTTGGCGCCCTTCTTGTAGGTGATGGTGTAGCTGAAGTTGGACTCGAGGTAATCGAGCCACCTGATTTGTCGCGGGTTAAGTTGTGGTTGGCTGCGCATGTACTGTAATGACTTGTGGTCGGTACGAACAGTGACGTCAGCTCCTGTGAGGTAACAGCGCCAGGTACGAAATGCATGCACGATGGCGAGCATTTCTTTGTCGTGCACGGGGTAGTTGCGCTCGGGCGGCTGCATTTTCCTTGACTCGTACGCGATGGGTTGCAGTCCGTTGCCGAAATCCTGTAGTAGCACAGCGCCGACGGCGAAATCGCTGGCGTCCGTCACAACCTCGAACGGTCGAGATGGGTCTGCCAGGCGAAGTACCGGGGGTGAACTCAAAATTTTCTTCAGCTCGTCGAAGGCCAGCTGCTCTCTCTCCCCCCATAAAAATTGCACGCCCTTATGCAGAAGATCGGTTAGCGGTCTAGTCACCCCCGCCATATTCGGTACAAATCGGCGGACGTAGTTGACGAAACCGAGGAAACTCTGCAGCTCCGTGATGTTCGTGGGCGGCTTCCACTCCGAAATCGCTGTGATTTTTCGGGGGTCGATTTTAATACCCTCCCCTGAAACCACGTGCCCCAGGAACTCCAGCTCCGGCTGTAAGAACTCACACTTAGAGCCCTTAGTGATCAGTCGGTTCTGCTGCAAGCGCCGGAACACCTCCTCTAAGTCCCGTAAATGCTGCTCCCGAGTCTTGCTGTACACCAGGATGTCGTCCAGGTAAACAATCACCTTCTTGTCCAACATGTCCCGAAACACCCCATTCATGGTGAGCTGGAAGGTCGAGGGTGCGTTCGTCAACCCGAATGGCATTACTGTATATTCGTAACTGCCGTAGCGGGTGCGAAACGCAGTCTTCGGGCAGTCGTCGGCAAACACGCGAATCTGATGGTAGCCACCTCGCAAATCGATTTTCGAGAAGAAGCGAGCCCCGCGAAGCTGATCCAGCAGGTCGTCCGCTCGCGGAATCGGGTAACGCGACTTAATAGTGATCCGATTCAGCGCTCGATAGTCGATGCACATGCGCAGGCCTCCGTCTTTCTTCGGCGTGAACAGTATCGGGGCGGCGTAAGGTGACGTGCTCGGCCGGATAAAACCCTTCGAGAGCAGATAATCCAGCTGTTTCCGCAACTCGTCGAGCTCTGGTTGGCTGAGCCGCCACTGTGACCGAACAGTTGGTTTTGCGCCTGGCTCCAGCTCGATCCTGTGGTCCTCCGGACGCTGAGGTGGCAGCCCGTCAGGCAGGTCATCCGCGAAAATTTCGGGATACCTCCGAATTATGATCGCCACGTCGTCAGGTACAGCAGCGCAGAGCGTGTCAATGTCGGCGATTTTCTCGGACGCCACCACCTCGTACAGCTGTACGGCGTAGCCCTGCGCTCCTCGTTTTATCGCCCTCGTCAGCGTGATTGCGTTGACACGTGTTGTCATCGGCTCCGGCTCCGTCCATTTCGGAAGTGTCACGCGCCCCTTGTTGCTCAGCACCGTGATTGCCCCCGTCGTCCAGTCGATCGTCGGATTGAATCGCTGTAGCCAATCCCGTCCCAGTAGTACATCGCAACCGTCCAGTGTTGTCGCCAGCATCTTTATCGAGAACCCGAAATCGTCGCCACACTTCATCAGAATTTATCGGACCTCGTCCTTTATCACCAGCGGTGTCCCGTCCACCAGTCGCGCGTCAATCTCGGGCAGACACCTGTCCAGCTTGACTCCAATTTTTTTGGCCGTTGCCAGGTTGACGAGACTGTGGCTCGCCCCACCGTCAACGAATAATTTTATTTTATGGCCGTTAACCCTCCCCACGACCAGCACAGGGTGATCCACGTGTTCATCCACTTTATTCGTCCGGTTGCGGTCGATAGCCCGTATCGGTACCACTACTCGGTGTGGATGGTGATTGCCGGGCGACGGGGTCTCGTCAGTAGGTGGCCCGACTGCTACTGACTTGTCGCTTTTCCCGACCCCTCTCCGTCGTTCCTGTTTCCCTGTTTCAGCTGCGGGCAGTCCTTCCTCCAGTGGCCCGGTTGGTGGCAGTTGAAGCACGTGTTAGGTCCACGTCTAGGCGCCTCCACACCGTTGATTGTGGGCTGGCGCGGCGGTCCACGAAATTGAGTGCCCTCCCGGGAACTCATTCTCGCCCATTGCATCAGCGCATCCGTAGATTCGGCCACCTGGACGGCATCGAGGAAATCGCGTGGCCTCGCCCGTCGCACCTCGTACTGTACTTCGTACTTGAGGCCCGCGACGTAACGGTCGAGTCGCTCCGCATCGCTCATGTCGTCCACCTGGTCAGCCAAATTGCAGAATGTTGCCGTGTAATCTTGGACCGACGCCACCTGCTTCCAGGTACGCAGCTTCATGCGGGCAGAATCCGAGGCGGATACATGCTCGAATCTGGTCCGCAGCGCGGCGCCCCACTCCGTCCATGTGCGTATCGTGGCCACTCCGAAGATTGAAGTTGCTCCTTGCGTGACAGTTGTCCAGGTCCCGTCGTTCGCACGTGACAGTCCTGCCGAAGTCCCCCCTGTCTGAAGAGTCCGCCTCCACCACTCCAACGCCGGTCCTCGTAATAGTGACACTGCAAAATTAATGCGGGTGGCATCATCAACAATTTGCGCAGCGTTAAAAAATACCTCCACGCCGAACAGCCACGCAGACACCGTAACGGTTTTGTCGGTGGGGTTGAACGGGGGCGGGTTTGTCGGTTTAATTTTAACAGTTGTTGAGACTGTTGCTGCTGCATGCATCGGGGCCGCCACCGAAGCCATCGCCGGAGTTGTCGCTGGTGCCTGTCGTGGCGTCGTCTGCGACTGTTGCCTCGGCGCTGCTTGTGCTTGTTGCTGCGGCTGTTGCTGTTGGTCCTGCGTCCCTTGTGCTCGTTGCATGCGTGCCGTCCATTCATCTTCAGCGTCCAGCGAGTCCTGTAGCTCGCTAAGGACCTCGTCGTTAGGTGCGAAGCTGCTACTTGCTTCATCCACGGCGGGCGGCTCCTGGCGCGTTT